TTTTTATGTCATTATGGAACCAATTATGATATTCTCAAGAATATTTCTTTTTAGACTCATTGCCATGTCAAGTAGACATTAAACAATTACTCCTTTGAATTAACTAATCTACTTTTTTGTCTAGCATAACACATTAGATGAACATCTTAATAATTTTTGAAATATTAAATTCACATTATATAAAAATTATTTTTTTTTTCATCATATCTAATTATGATTTAAAACTAACGTGGGGATATTTCCTTAAAGTTTGAGCAAATAATGTAGAATCTGCAACATAAAGCCATGTTATAATTGTAATTGTGAATGTTTATTCCTGACTTCAGAACGTGCTATCAAATTGGTTGTCCTATGAGAACTTTTAATATTAAGTCTTATAAATTTTGCTCTAATATAACACAAAGTTGGATACTTTATAAATAGAGGCATAACTTGTATCAATAAATGCATTGTTGAATATGTGTTAGTTAAAGAATCGTAGTGCTAATAATAATATTGTATTTGATTAAAAATAAAATAATAAGTAGAGGAGGACTTGTTTGAAATGATGAATGCTCTAAAAATATATTATTCAAGTATTAGTGTTTTAGAATGTCCTAGCTAAACCTATTTAGATAAAATTTTTGAAGAAGTAGTGCAGATTAATAGTCAGAAAGTTCTGGTCTTAAAATATATGAGTAAATGTCATATAGATTAGAATAGAGGCGAAACAAAATGATATGCCATTTTCCTGATCTAAGCCTTTTTAAAATTAGCAGATTCAACATTTTTTAAAATTGATTAAATTAGCTGTGGAATACCATATTAATATTTCTTCTGCTTTTATCTCACTATGGTATATTTCTGCTAGTAATAATATAATTTATATGGCCCTCTTTTGCATTATCCCCCTTGACCTTTCAATTCTTCTAAGAATTTTAATTTAATTTCAGATCCTAAATTCTATGTTTAATATCAATATTATATCATTGCAATTTCTTGATTTACAATTATTATTTCAAAATCCTCTCTAATTTTAGTGCTTGTTTTTATTAAGATATTCAAACTTGATTTTAATTTACGAATTATTCTTGATTAACTAGAGATTTTGATTTAACTTTTTCTCTATAATATTTAGTAGACTATATTTGTTATCTTTATATTTCTTCTTTAATTATCAGGATTTGCATTCTATCAAGTAGCCTAATATGTAATTCAAGAAATATAATTTAAATAATAATATAAATATGGATATTATTATTTTACTTTCTAATATTTTCTTCAAAAAAGAACATTTCTTTTAATAATCTGTAAAAGGCTTTGTTGTTACAGGATGTGAATGTGTTTCAAAAAACGATAATTTCACCACTTATTAATGGTTGCTCACGAATTTCGATTAAATTAATGATAAAATTTAATATTAGAAAATATGTTCATCTATTTTAATGGGAAAACTGTCTCTTTACCAGAACATTTAAATATTTAATTTTAAGATTTTCTAAAGAATTCTTAGAAAGAAAGTAAAGGGTTTTATACAATTTAACATAAGAATTTATTTTATAAAACTTAATGAGTAATTATTTTAGGTTTAATTATAATGATAAATAATTAATTAAGTGCTAAATGAAAATTTAAATCCTTTTTAATTAATTATTTATTAATATGATTGTTTTAATAATGGTAATTTTACTTTTATTGCCCTTCCGAAACCAAGCTTAAAGATTAAAACTTTAAGGACCAAAGCCTATATATATGAATTGCATATAGATAGACGAAAGTTTTAACAATTTAATATATTGTAGGAGAGAATGGCTTTGTTGGAAGCTAGTACTTTTACGAGTACCTTTCATAATCTGGAAATCTGCTAAATCTTGATAAGATTACATTCACCTTATGGATAAATATATATAAACAATCGAAATTGAGTGGAAAATAAATTTTGTTTGCTTTTGTCGATGGCAACACAAATAATCCTGTAACGAATTAATTCATATTAGTACATTAATTTAATGTTATATTATTAAACATCTGCAGGAAATTATAATATGACCTTATTGAATTAGAGATAGTCTCCAGAGATCGTTAATATAACATAGTATAAATTTTATATATTGAAGGTAAAATGATCTTTATATTGGCAGTTGGTGTCATATAGTATTATCTATAGATTAGAGCACTAACAATACATTTATTAATTTCAAATTCTTTTCTACAATTGATTGGAAGATGAATTCGATTTAAGAGACTTTAGTTAATTAAAAGTAAATATTTTCGTTATAATTAGATTAAAATATAATTTTGGGGTGCATTCTAGAATAACAAATGAGTAATTATTTAACACTTCTACTGATTACAAAGCATGTGTAAACATTGCCAATTTTTATTATATCAATGGATGGACAACAATGGATTCAGAAATTTATTTGGATTATGATTTAGAATTGAAATACTTTCTAAAACCTTATCAGCTAAAAGGTCTTAATGTTACAGATTAATTTACGAATGTAGCTTTGAGATAATAGTCCAACCCAATATTTTATAGTGATTCTGTTGGATTGCTGTTATTTAAGAATACACGGATAGTATACAATTTTATGGAGGATTTAGGTTCCTTAACAATTATGTTTTGGATTAAACCATAAAATATAGTATCTCTTTTTTAGTTTATTTCTTTGACTGATGATGCATTGCAGCA